ATTTTATATTTGATCCTGGAAGTAACAGGTAGCCATTAGAGTTTACTGAATGGAAGGGGAACACATTTATGTGTTCATTTTAAATAAAAATTAAAATCCATTTAAGGTATGAACAAATCTATATTTTGAAACTGAATATAACAAACATTTTTTCCTATAGATCCTTAATGTTAGGGCAAAGGAAACCTCTTTTGTTAAATGATCAATGACTCAGGAATACATCATTTCATCCCAACATTAAACCTGAACTAAGAGGGTACTGACTTTAGACCTGAGCACCTACAACATTTGACTATACAGATGAGATGGCCTCATGGCCCATATCTTGGTTGAGTATGGGGGAAGGGCACTACAAATCTGGAGGGTCAGTGTGATGATCCAACAGTGAGACACCTCAGGTGAGCCTTTCTGGATATATGTGGGGAATCCTCTCAATAGAACAGGGAAAAGGTTCCCACTGATCCAGAGCAATTGGCCCAGTGAGTGCAGGATTGCTGAAGAGGAAGGTAAAGTCCAATGTTCCCTCATTATTACTGCCCATTCTACAAAAGTTAGACTGCTAGAGTTACAGGGCTGAAAGTAAACCGGCCAAGAGTTAAACAGTTACTAAAGGCAGAACTCTTAACCCTCCTGAAGAGGCTGGAGACTCATAGTCCCCAGCCAGAAACCCATGGACGTGGGGAAAGACAGACGGTCTCAGAACCAGAAGTAGCATTAGAACTGATGGAAATCAGAGTAATATGATAGGAGAATGATAGTTGTAGTGAGGAAGTGATCTGGGAACAGCCACCTGTACCAGAAGAGCCCTAGGCTTACCCTTTTATGACACTCCAGAATGCGATTTCCTCCACTAGAGGAATAGAGGATGGGTCAGTTTTTACTACAAAGGAACTTTTTAGATTAGAAAGAAGTTCAAATAACAATCTGAGGAGTCAAAGCAGGGATGGCTCCTGAGGACATGGTCTAATCGAGCCAATACAGGGATTCTTTTTGCTGTCAACTTTTAAAGACCCCGGGAGCTTTCTGACTACAGAGTCAATTAAATCAATTACAGTCTCCAGACAGGGCCTGCCCTTTGACCTTTCTAGGTTGTTGATATGAATTTTAACTTCAGCCAGTTCCCCACAGGGATCTGCAAGGGAGGGATGGGCTTGACACACTGGATTTATGTAACTCCTCCAAGGCCAGCCACACCCCATGATCAGCCTGCCTCCAAGCCTTTCACTCTGTCCACACACCACCTACCTACACCAGGTGACATGCAGTTGGAGTTGTCCAACTTTGGAAGTCACTGATAATTGGTTTGGAACTCAGAAGACAGAGAGATATAGATCAGGGCTTCTTAAACTTTTTTCTACTGGTAACCCCTTTTTGCTTTTCAGCAGTGTTAGTTGTTATTATGTAGCCTGAGGGCATGTGCAATGCAAAGCGCGAATGCTTTGTGTTCAGAACCAGGCTAAAGTGAAGCTGCTCAATGCAACACAGGCAAGGTCTGCCAGAAACAGCTCAGATTCATTTCACATTTGATTTTTAATTAATTTTTTGCACGTTCAAATTTTTCGCAACCCCATATGGGGTCACGACTCACAGTTTAAGAAGTGCTGACATAGACGTACAGGTGTATATATGTCTATGTAGATATAGATATATGTAGATGTAGATACCGATATGTATATATAAAGATGTATGTACACATATACAAACACAAGATAGATAGGCAGATGGATGGACGGATACAGTATACAAGGACATATACACACACAAATATACTGTGGAAGTAGGTATAAAACACTCCATCTGAGTCTCAGGTTCCTCATGTTTGTTGTGAGGATTCAAACAAGCAATTGATAAGCATGACTAAGTGTCTATGTGCCAGGAAAGGGCAGCTAAGTGGCACAGTGGATAAAGCGTCAGGCCTAGAGTCAGGAAGACTCATCTTCCTCAGTTCAAAGATGGTCTCAGACACTTAATAGCTGTGTGACCCTGGGCAAGTCATTTAATCCTGTTTGCCTCAGCTCCTTCATCTGTAAAATGAGCTGAGGAAGGAAATGGCAAACCACTGCAGTATCTTTGCCAAGAAAACCCTATATGGGGTCACGAAGAGTTGGATACAACTGAAACAACTGAACAATCAACAGAATGAAAGCAAACTTTAGCTATAGGTCTTCCTCTACATACAACCATACAGGACTGGACAATACAGGTCAGCGTCTTCTTTGTAACTTATAGTCTAAAGAGTTGCCTAGAGCACAGAAGGGTCAAGTGATTTGTCCAGGGTCATAGAGTCATTATATGTCAGAGGCAGGACTTGGAACCCAGGTCTTTCTGGCTTTGAAACCAGCTCTCCAATCACTATGTCAAGCTGTCTCTTTTGGAACACATACCTTTTTATAACATCTCACTAAAAAGTATGGTGGGAAAAAAAACTCTCTGAGCACAAAGACTATTTTTGCTTTTTTTTGTATCCCTAGCACTCAGACCATTGCCTGAGACATAGTAAGTGCTTAATAAATACATACTTCTGTTTGTGGAGCTGTGAACTGATCCAACCATGCTGGAGAGCAATTTTAACTATGTCCAAAGGGCTATAAAAATGTGCATATCCTTTGACCCAGCAATACTGCTTCCAGGGTTATATCCCAAAGAGATCATAAAATGGGGAAAAGATCCACATGTACAAAAATATTTATAGCAGCTTTTGTTGTGGTGGCCAAGAACTAGAAATTGAGGGAATACCCATCAACTGGGTAATGGCTGAACAAGTTGTGGTATATGAATGTAATGGAATACTACTGTGCTATAAAAAATGACAAGCAGGCAGACTTCAGAAAAACCTGGAAAAACTTATATGAACTGATGTTGAGTGAAGTGAACAGAACCAGGAGAACATTGTACACAATAACAGCCACACTGTGTGATGACTAACTTTGATAGACTTAGCTTTTCTCAGCAATACAAGGATCTAAGACAACTCCAAAAGACTCACAATGGAAAATGCTGTCCACACCCAGAAAAAGAACTATGGAGTCTGAATGCAGATTGAAGCATGCCATTTGCTCTCTCTCTCTTTTTTTTTTGTTTTGCTTCTTCTTTCTCATGGTTCCTCCCATTCATTCTAATTCTTCTTTACAACATGACTAATGTGAAAATATATTTAATGAGAATGCATATATAGAGCCTATATTAGATTGCACGCCACCTTGAGGGGGGGAAGAGGTGGAGAAAATTTAAAACTCAAAAGCTTATGGAAGTGAATGTTAAAAACAACAGATCACACATTTACAATCACACAACTGACTAAAAGGAGTAGATAATAAGATCCCACTTATTGTGCTTATTGTTTGATTGACATAAAAAAGCGCCTGATAAACCAGAGCAAAACACCACATTAAAGGCCTTTTCTCCTCCTTTAAAAAGTTATCTTCCAGCAAATCAAAATAACTCTGAGGTACCACATCACACCTAAGACATCTCCAAAGGTCTCATGATGGAAAATGCTATTCAGGGCAGCTAGGTGGCACAGTGGATAGAGCACTGGCCCTGAAGTAAGGAGGACCTGAGTTCAAATTCGGCCCTAGACCAAACACTTGACACTTACTAGCTGTGGGACCCTGAGCAAGTCACTTAACCCCAATTGCCTAAAAAAAAAAAAAAGAAAGAAAATGCTATCCACATCCAAAGAAAGAACTATGGAGTTTGGATGGAGATTGAAGCATACTATTTGCTATTTTTTTCTTCTGTTTTGTTTCCTCTTTCTGGTGGTTCCTCCTATTGGTTCTAATTCTTCCTTAAAACATCACTAATATGAAAATATGTTTAATAGGAATGTATATGCATAGCCAATATCAGATTGCACACTGTCCTGGGGAAGGAGAGAGGGGCAGAAAAATTTAAAACTCAAAACCTTAAGTGATTGTTGATTAATCAAAACAAATTAATAAAAAAAAGTTAAAAAAAAAGTTATCTTCCACACAAGTGACAAGATTCCTTGAAAGGCATGACAACATATTTAGAATAAATGGAAAAAACACTCAAAATATATTGGCTCACTAACAGCAGATGTTAAAAAAAATCTTCAAGCTTCAAGCTTTTGATATATTTTAATGTCCTACAAAATCTTCACTCATTTTTTAATCCCAATGAAAATACATCTGACATGTAAACATCAGTGGCCTAAAAACGGTGGTATTCTAAATATCATTTTGAAATTACATAAAAATTTTCATGACAAAAAAATACCAGGCCTACACTCATGACTCTGTTAGAATATCTCTGGCATCTTGGTTTTATTTACAAAGGAAAATTTTTGAGCCACTTGAAATTTGGCAGTTGAATTACAGTCATTTCATAGCTATTCTGACATATTACTTCATATACCTATATTATGCCTTGAAGAAAACTGATTAAAATCTTATAACTGCCATTATAATTTTCTTTGATTCTCACTGATAAAGAGACTATGAACAGAATGGTAACTGTAGAACTATGTTAATGTTTATAACAAAAAATTAGCTCAAACCATGGTATAATCTATGTCCTAATGAATCCTTAGATAAAGCTGTGGTTTTTCTTGTTTGATCCAGCTGGATTTTTCTATCGCAATAAGTAGCCTAAAAAAGAATCTGGATATATGAACATATAAACACATGTATAACTGCGCTTTAATTTGCTCACAACAGACTAGCAAATTCATCCAATTTTCACGCTTTCTAATAAAAACAAATTTAGAAAATTTTTCATTATTCTCATTATGTATACAAGATCTGTCTTTCAAACTAAACTTTTGAAATCTGTTCAATTTTAAAATGGTTCTTTTTAATGAACTTGTTCCCAAGGCAATTTTAGAAAGAAAGCTCAGTAAACCGTTAAAGCTATACATCACCCAGTAATAAGTATCCCCTACAGATTTTTGACACTTACCTATAAAGAATATCACGTGTTATGTTATGAAAACATAAACTTCAAAGAATTTTGTTCTTTCTTATTACTGTTAGTAATACCTGTTAAGAAGATTCTCTACTTCCTGAACTTCTGAAATTGACTCTTCCTCATCTGAAAGTAGTCGACTTTCAAATTTTCTGTCTTGGAAGTCATACAACATCACGACAACAAGACTGGTCAGAGCAACTGGCTACCAAATGAAATACATGCAAAGAAAATAAAGTACACAGTGACATACCACAACAATATTTTTTACTCTTTGGTAATCACGGGGTTATTCAGAATAAAGAAGCAGAATGTTATTTTAACATTGTTTTTATTCCCCAAGAAGAAATAACCTACTGTAAATTAATCTTTTAACATAAAGAATGATTGTAACTATTTGTGATAAATGAGCATGAAGCCAATCATAGAAGTGAAAAAAAAATTCTTAGCAAATACTTCCCACAATCTCCCCCACCTTTTTTTATTTTTAACACCTTCTCTAGTATTAAGCAATCATTAATCATTTAATAAAATTAGAGGACTCTAAAAAACTCAGAAAGTACAAAGATATCCCAAATGATATAAAAATTGTCTACTTACTATTGACACATTTGGATAGAAACAGCTGTCTATTAATATACTTTCCAAAATATCTTGATCTAAAGAACAAAGAAATATTAGTCTTTAATGTGAATATCATTGAAACTAAAAAAAAATGTTAAGATCATAATATAATGATATAATATGATGATAACAATATAAAATTATAATCGTAATGATAATAATATATTTCAAGTAATCTCACTCAAATCATTTATTACTGACATTTTCTTTCAAAATTTATTCCATTTCTCCATAAAGATTTAGGAGTACAGTGATAAAATTAAAACTTTATTACATTTTGAATGAAATAAATAATTTAAACTAAAATATACTTGATGAGCCAACACATCCATGAGTCATTCTGAAACTCTCTGACCCTTGGTTTCTCCATCTTTATAAAATGAGTATATAATATCTGCACTACCCATCTCATAGGGTTTTTGTAATAAACTTTTACAAACCTTAAAGTCACTTTTAAGTATGTAATTATCTAGCAATCTATGAAGAACCCCAATTATTTCGGTAGAAAGTAAAAAGCTAAATTGCTAAAATACATTATGAACTCAATTATATTTAAAAAGAAATTTATATAAAATCAAATGTATTAGACCCATCTATTTAACTTCTACTCTGATGTTGTCATATCTTCACGAAAAAGGAGAAGCTTCAGAAAGGAGTTGATTTCTGCTTCTGACCAAGTCTTTATATATTTATTTCTGGCCAATGTCCCTTGGGTCTACTTTCCAGGACCCCATTTTCCTCATGGGTAGGTAAGGGTGAGGGGAGATACTTTTTATTTCCAAACAGCTAAATCGTGCTTCCATGTCCGTATCTCAAGGAAACAAGACAAAATAAATAACACCCTTGAGCATTTTCTCCAACCAAGAGACGGTACAATTTAGCAAAGAAACCTAAGAACTCAGGCCCACCAGGACTAGGCTTTCATGAAGAACCCTTCCAGATCCCTTCCTGAACAATGTCTCCCAATTTTCACAACTGGCTTACAGATGTAGAATCCCTTAAAGAGCCCACCCCTCCAGAATATTACAGGTAACACCTCCTGGAGCATGGTGCTGCTCACTCCTTTGTATTTCCTCAGGTGTCCTCTACTCCTACTTTCCCCTCCCTTTTGTTGACATGAGCAGATTGCTAAATTATCTAGAATATTATGGACAGGAGCTGGAAGCTGAGGTTCTTGGATTTTTTTTCCCCTTCCACCCCATCCTCCATGACCTCTTTACACAGCCACAATAGCATTTAGCCAACAAACCCCAGCCAATGGCTACAATGCTAAACCAAGAGTATCCAAGTCACAGATAGTGAGGACGGCAAGGAGGCAGGCAATAAACTAGGCGACTTCACAGACTATCTGGATTTTCATATGTGGGATCAAGCCTTATAATCTGAATGTGTAAATTCCACTATATATAGGCATCCTAGAAGTACCTGATTTCAATTAAATTTGATTATGAATATCTTTTAACCTTAGTGACTTTGTTAAGAATCTCAGGAAACAAATGATTTGAATAAAGAAATATAACAATAGGATTTTTAGAAGAGCACCTACTTGGTTAATGGCATTTATTTTCTTGAAGTCTTTATAGGAGGTATTCTAGTGTAATGTGCAATGGATTTGATAATCCAGGTTCTAGACAACACTAGTTCCAGTCCTGGCACTACCATTTACTAGCTACGACTCAGGTCCCATAATCTCTGCCTCATTTTCCTCACCTAAAAAGTGCAGATAGTAATCTTTGGACTAGAAAACTCAAAAGGTTTTGTGCGAATCAAAATGATGTAATATATGTAAAGTGTTTTGTAAGTTATAATGTGATGTTAGGTAAATTGCATAGATTTCTAACTGGATAGGAATTCAGATCATCTAGTACAATTCCTTCATTTTACAGATGAAGAAACTCTGGCCCAAAATGGTCATAGATATTGAGGTGGAAGGAACTTTAGAGGGCATCTAATCCAACTTCCTTGTTTTAAAAAAGGGGAAACTGAGCCTCAGAAATGTTCCCTTGACTGCAAATCAAGTGTATATCATATAAACTGTACAAACAAGGTAAGTAACTTGACCAAAGTCACAAAAAGGTAGCTAGTAGCAGAACCCATGCTTAAACCTAGACCTCAAATTGTCTCCTAATTCTAAAAAGTCTAAGAATTTCTCTCAAATTGTTTTAATGTTCCTTACCTCTCCTCTTCCAGTTATTTCCATCTCTCTACTTATCTCCACCAAGTCTGAGAGGTTTTACCTTTAGTTTAAGCTTAGCTTTGAACCATACTCTTTATCACAGCTCTGCCTTCTTACCTTGGGCAAAGCCTTACCCTGTCTGGGTCTCAGCATTCAGGTTCTAAAGAACCTCTAAACATTCTTTCCAGCTCTAGAGCCATCATTTTCTTCTGAATTAACATTACAGATTTTTTTTCCTAGTAAAGTGAAGATAAGGACTTTCATTCAAGGGGGAAGGAATCAATAAATCAATCAAAACACAGGTGTGTCTGGCACTATGCTAAATGCTGATGAGGAAGAAAAAGCAAAGTCTTTGTCATCCAGGGGCTTACATTATAATGGGGGAAAGAGCATATACAAATCAGAACAAAATAAATAAAACAAAGACAAGAGGTAACCTAAGAGGATTGGGTCTGCAGGGGACTTAGAAAGGCTCCCTGGAGGAAGTCAGAGTGATAAAGGAAGCCAAAGGCTCTACAAATAACAGGCTGGGAAAACATTCTAGACTTGGAGAAGTAGTGCAAGGGCACAAAGATAGAAGATGCAGTGGCAAGTACAAAGAAGAACAAGCAGACCAAAATGGCTGGATTATAGAGAGCATGGAGGGCAAAAGAATGTAAAAAGACCAGAAAGGTAGGAAGGGTCTAAACTGTGAAGATCTTTAAATGCCAAGAAAAAAAAAATCACTTAATGTTTGATCCTGAAAGTAAGAGTGAGCCTCTGGAGCCCATTAAGTAAGGGAACAACATGGTCAGACTTACATTTTAGGAAAATGATTCAGTAGCTTAACCCTCCTGTATAAAGGGGTATTTATATATTGAACTTTTCTTAGATTTCTTCTGCTCTTCGCTCTTCTCAAAACCACTGCTCCCCTTACCAGAAGGCTGCAGGCATTCTCTAGGTAACTACTTTTAACCAAATATATAAGAAACTATATAGATCCACACCAACTACACATTGCATAAAATGTGAGCCAGGTGGAGATGGGATTAGGGAAACAACAGCGAATGGCTGACAAGATACTGGCCTCCTGTAGAGATCGATACCTCCACTTTGTGGGGATGCATGATGAAGCCTGTCTCTGATCTAAGGTCTAACATTAATCTCCATATAAAGCAAAGGAGAAGAGAAAGAGAAGTAGAAAGGTCTAACAGTAGAACAAGGCCCTAATTCTCCACCAAGGGAACATGCTGGCTCTCTGAGCACGGTACCAGGCTCATCCTGTAATTTTCAACAGATGTCCACTTCCTAGAATAGTTCCTTCCTGGACTTAAGGTCAGAAAAGACCAGAGTTCAAATCTGCCTCAGACACTTACTAGTTGTGTGACCCTAGTCTCTTCATCTGTAAGATGGGGATAATAATAACACTTACCTCACAGGACTGTTGTGAGGATCAAATAAGATAACATATGTAAAGTGCTTTGCAAACCTAAAAGCTCTGTATTACACACTGCTGGATCAAAATGCTCCTTACCACCCTTCCCTCTCCTACTCCCTACCTCCCAAATGAGCCCTACAGAATTCAGTGAATCATTTACAAAGGCGAACAAGTTAAGGAGCATCAAGTTACTAAATAATGCTGGTGTGTGTGTGTGTGTGTGTGTGTGTGTGTGTGTGTGTTTAAGTCTCAATCAGTTTAATTAGATCAACACTTAATTAAGAGAGCATCATCGAATTTAAATCCAGATGGGGGAAGCAATACCAGGAGAATATGTCAAGAAAATAAGCAAAAGGCTACCAGAAAGGAAAAAAAGATTAGATGGAAATGGTGGTATCGTACTTAAATTATTCATCATGTAAATCTTGACAAGGACTTGGAGGGAGTGACAAAAAATTTTGTTAGGATACTTTATGCAATATTTTGTGGTTGTTGTTTAGTCATTCAGTCATGTCTGACCCTTTATGACCCTATGGACCATACCATGCCAGGTCCTTCCATCTCCACTATCACCCAAAGTCTGTCCAAGTTCATGTTCGTTGTTTCCATAACACTATCTATTAATCCCCTTTTCCTTTTGCTTTCAATTGTTCCCAGCACCAGGGTCTTTTCCAATGAGTCGTGTCTTCTCATTATGTGGCCAAAGAATGTAAGCTTCAGCTTCAGTATTTGACCTTCCTGTGAACAGCCTGAATTAATTTCTTAAGTATTGACTGACTTGATCTCCTTGCTGTCCAAGGAACTCTCTAAAGTCTTCTCTAGCACCACAATTCCAAATCATCAATTCTGCGGCTCTCAGCTTTCCTTATGGTCCAATTCTCACAGACATACACTACTACTGGAAAAACCAGAGCTTTGATGATATGGACCTGTGTCAGTAACGTTAAGTGTCTGCTTTTTAGTATGCTGCCTAGATTTGCCATAGCTTTCCTTCCAAGATGCAATTATCTTTTAATTTCAGGACTGCAGTTGCTATATGCAGCGATCTTTGAGCCCACGAATATAAAATCTGACACTACTTCTTATTTCTTCTCCCTCTATTTGCCAGGAAGTGATGGGACCACTTGCCAAGCTCTTTTTTTTTTTTATGTTAAGATTCAAGTCAGCTTTTACACTCTCCTCTTTCCCTCTCATTAAGAGGTTTAATTCCTCTTTACTTTTTGCCATCAGAGTGATATCATCTGCATATCTGACACTGCTGATATTTCTCCCAGCAACCTTAATTCCAGTTTTTGATTCATCTTGGGATTTTGTCTGATGTACTTTGCACATAAGTTAGATAAATAAGGGGACAATATGCAGTCTTGTCTTACTCCTTTCCCAATCTTAAACCAGTCGTTCCACATTCAGTTCTAACTATTGCTTCTTGGCCTGCATACAGG